GCGAGCTTGTTAAATGCTTCTATAAATTGCAATTTGATTTGTGAAAATTGACCAAGAAAATGAAAAGTTATAGCAATTCAAAATTTACGAATTTTATAAAATTTCATGTTCTTATGTAACATTAATCTGTCATTTTGACAATGTTGGCATAAAGTGCCGACGACGAACATTTGAATATATACGGAACATTTATTTTTTTTTTCTGCGAAGTGAGTCTCATGAACAACAATTCACCACAATTTTGGTAAAATTAATGTTGAAATGAAGAATATATTTCAGTCTAATGTTAGTTCAAAATATCATTAGGCCTTTGTAATCACCGCACGACGCGCGACTAACATGGCAACTAACACGCGCGTGGGTAAATCGTCACGTACGCTGACGGTTTATGGTCTGGTTGCTATGGTTTTTGTGACGTTCAGCGTGTAGGGACGCACGTGCGCCTAGAATGTCGATGCCCAAGTTATAACCTTTGATGTCCCGAGATGTGCGTCCTTTTGTTGAATTACCTTGCGCTGATGAAGGTTCCCTGATTGGACCGACCAATCAGCATCGCCTAATGCTGTCGGCGATAGAGTATAATCAGGCTTAAGTAATGGAGTGGAAGACCAAGATGTTGTTTAATGGTGTTCCTTTATAATTAGGTTATAATGAGCACTTATGTATACTTATACATAATCACTATATCCGTAATAATGTTAATTATAGGCCTACATCGGACCAGTAATGATATCAATATGTTTTAATGTTGTACAAATGACAGAGACGTCAGTAATTATAGAATCAATTTAACTGAACGTATAAAATCATAACAAAGACTCACAAACAACTGATTTCATTGTCTTTTATTGCATTATGATTCACTGGCTGGCTCAAATAAGTAAATATATTTGCTACCAAACATTTTTATAGCAGAATGACGTCATTCTGCTAAACCTATGGAAGCATTAATATTTTTTTTGCACTTTCATTTTGTTAATAGAATAAACATTTTATACATTTTCGGACTTCTTTTTCTAATAACGTTATCAGTATCTTATGACCATGTGAATCGTCGTTTGAAAAAGAAATATATAAAAAAAAAATTCTATGGTAAAAAAATTATGATTAATATTAAAACAAGGTAAATGGAATAGTAAATGTAGATTTAGTTACTGAATAACTGAATAAAAAAATAACTGAATCCTTTTTGGAAATGTATATGATTACATCTATAAAGAGTATTCAACCTCTAATTTGGAAGTACTTTTACGGTGATTTTTTACAAAGACAAAGTTATATACTATTGAACAAGAAATTGATGACTTCTAAAAAGTAAAGTATTAGGAAAAACATTAATAACACTTAATGACATGATATATTAAGAATGAGAGACGTTCGTGATTATCATGATGGTGATGTTTCTGAAGCTATTTTAATTCTTGCTTATGTTCAGTCACCCAAAACAAGGCCAAGACAACTCAAGGTTACGATAGTTGAAAATAAAACGGTTGACACGAAATTAAATATTTTAGTACAGTATACATTAAGTACCCAAATTATATAATTTAAGCACTTAATGTATTGTATACGTTATACCATAAACGGTTTACAATAGCGATATCATTGTTTTAATTGAAAAAAAATTGAAGTTTATATATTGAAACAACTAATTATGGTTAATTATTGACCATTAATAAGAAATAGGCCTACAGTAGTTAATAGTTACAATGTGGACATAAATAATCACTAAGTCGATAGCCGAATCCAAAATAATTTGTTGCATTAACATTTGTAGTCCTTTATTTATAAATCGTTCTTTCGATTCGGAAGATGTTCAAATGTACATCAGAAGAAGCCAGTAAAAAACTTAAATTGTTCTGTAGACTTTATATGTTTAAAGAATAAATTGCGCAGACATTTTCTAAACGAGGAGAACAATAACGTAAGTACCAAACATTTAGTTAGTATGGTTGCATATTACTAATCCTTGCTGCGGAGTTCATGAGGAAAAGGCGTATCACTTTGATCGCGTGTGTGCTTTAAACTGAGTTTTAAAATCATAAACTACTTGATTTTGAATTTACTCATATGCACATGATACACTATTTTGGTTGTATATTTTTTTACAATGTATTGTGATTATAGTATTATAATGTCCTGAGCGCGGTGCGTTTTGCGCTGTGCTTGGTAGGCCTACGTACGTTGTGCATCTTAATATATTCGAAAAGTTTGTTCTTAATCTATTGACATTTATGTTGAATTGACCACATGAGCGGTTGAAATACCTGTTAATGAAGTTAATTAAGTCTATCCTATTTTTATTTTTTAACGATAGATTTGAAATGTAATTATTATATATTACTTATTAGGCCAACATTTTCCATCGGATTTTGTAGAAGGCATTAAATATGTAACGAAACGAATGAAAAAATATTTAAAAATTAGTGAAAGAGCTTTGTAGATTTTAATATAGACTTTTCGTCTTTATAACCCATACTGATCCTTAGCCGGCCCTGCACTCCTCTAGAATGGAAGCGATAAACGGAAGTGAAACGTCAACGTTGTACTCAGAGATAAAGAATGATTCAATAGACGATCAATCTTGGTCTATAGAAGTTCTGCAATTTGAAGTTCCCTTCTTGTTGGCCGTCATATTTATAGCAACTATTGGCAACATCCTTGTCATCGTCATCTACTCGAAAAAAGCTCTTCGAAAATCTAATGCAGCGCTTTATGTTTTCAACTTAGCAATAGGTATGTCATCAATATAAATAAATAAATATATATACGGTACCGGTATATAATATATATATAGAATAATAATGATAATAATAACAAAATAAGTAAACGAATAAAAATGAATGAATAAATAGCCACTTATTTTTAAACATCAAGCTCACACTTTATTGCTGAGATTCCGACTTTAGTAAAACTACACATTTGTAAATTTTTAACAATACATGAAAAATATATAAAATCAATAATCAATCAATAATTAACTAAGAGGTATTGCCTAATACATTTAATGTTATTATATTAAACATGTTTAGAATAATATTATTTTCATAATATTATCAACGACTGAACAATGTTTTCAATCATTTGTCCTTGTTATATCATTTTAGTATACTTTTTTTTCTTGTCAAGTCAATTCTCATTTGATGGTACTTCTCTTATTCCTTAATTATTTCCCTTTTTCTTGGATTTTCAAACAACATTCTACGTATTTGTTTTTAGAAAGTATCTTGTAGATCCAGAAACAGAGAATCACACGACAAACGAAAAGTTTTTAGGCTTTGATTACCCTCCACTTTTCATCCCTTAGACCACTTGATAATGTCTATTATACGGCCTCTGGGTTTTTATAACTTCCCATTTGCTATTTGGAGATAAATTTTAGCTGTGTTGGTAAAGAATTGTTTTAAAATTAGAGACGGTACTCTGTGTCCATCCCAATTTGCCATGTCTAAAAAGTGGTCTCGAATTTGAAGATGAATTGTACAATAATTATAATTATAATTATAATAGTTGTTTCTCACCACTATCATTATACATATATTTATAGGTTTCTATCTTAGCTGATAGAGTGGTTACTCCATATGTATGTATAATTTTTTTTCTGTTCAATGCGTGTAATGCAATGCGTTGAGAACAGGCCTATTGGGGAATCTGTGGAAGTATACCAAACTCGGCTAACAAACGAATGGTAATCGGAAAGTCTTGGGTTTAAATCCCGTCTGGATATCTTAATACCTTTATATATCCCTACGAGTGTGCTACCTAATTTATATGAACCTTATTTCGAAATTTACTATCTAGCCGATCAGAAAATCGGGCCACCGGGATTTGTACAACGATAAATTTCTTTATGTTAGTTTCTGATATGACTGCTATTAACATTGTTTTTTTTTTCTTATTAGTTTTATTATTATTATTATTATTATTATTATTATTATTATTATTATTATTATTATTATTATTATTATTATTATTATTATTATTATTATTATTATTATTATTATTATTATTACATTATTAAGAAGTCATCCTGTTGCTTAAGTGAACAATGAATAAATTTATGAATGTAACTCAGGGGATCTATTCGCTGTTGGAGTGGCGGTGTTTCATGTCACTGAGTTCTACCCATCGACCTGGCCAATTCTATGGCGATACAATGCACAATGTATACTTCACCGTTGGTGTCGCTACACAGCCTTTAACATCACCGTATTCTTGATGGTTGCTATAGCAGTGGATCGGTATTACGCAGTGTGTCAACCAATCAAGTTCAAGACAAACTGTACGCTAAGGAGGACTAAACGAATCATAGGGATTTTGTGGTTTTTAGCCATCTTGTCTACAGCACTCCAATCATACAACTTTCAGGTTGGTAATTCGCACACGCACAAACCTATTTTAAAAATTGGCTGTTTAGCAAATATTATAGTGAAATAATAATTTAAAAAAAACAACAAATAAAGACCTAGAGTGTGTATATAATATGTTGTGACACCTTTTAAAATTATCAGAAGAGTCAACAAAAGATTTTAAAGAGCAAATAGAAAATATACAGAAACCTATGTTTGAGCTGAGGAGAAATAACTCGGAATATCGTCTTTCCAAGATTGTTATAGAATTTCGTTTTTCCAAGATTTTTATCTGAAAATTTCGTTTTTTCAAGATAGTTATTTATGAATTATGTCTTTCCAAGATTGTTATGTCGGGATTTCGTCTTTCCAAATATTGTTATCTCGGAATTTCGTCTTTCCAAGATTGTGATCTCGGAATTCCATCTTTCCAAGATTGTTAACTCGGAATTCCATTTTTCAAAGATTGTTATCTTGGGATTTTGTCTTTCCAAGATTGTTATCTCGGAATTTCGTCTCTCCAAGATTGTTATCTCAGATATTAGTCTTTCCAAGACTGTTACCTCTGAATTCTTCCTTTCCAAGATTGTTATTTGGAATTTTGTCTTTCACAGATGGTTGTATCAGAATGTCGTTTTTCCTAGATTGCTATCTTGGAATTTCGTCCTTCTGAGGAAAATTATTTTTAAATTACACCTTTTCGAATATTCGGTAGCACTTATAATTTTCTTGCTTTTTAAAACAATTTATCTTGAAATTCCTTGTTTCTAAAATAAACTCTTTTGAACTTTCCAAAAAATATTTTCTTGATATTCCGATTTCTCTAGGATAAGTAAGTATCGTCTTAAGCACAGCTTAAGTCCAATATTGTTATCTCGGAATTTCGTCTTTCCAAGATTGTGATCTCGGAATTCCATCTTTCCAAGATTGTTAACTCGGAATTCCATTTTTCAAAGATTGTTATCTTGGGATTTTGTCTTTCCAAGATTGTTATCTCGGAATTTCGTCTCTCCAAGATTGTTATCTCAGATATTAGTCTTTCCAAGACTGTTACCTCTGAATTCTTCCTTTCCAAGATTGTTATTTGGAATTTTGTCTTTCACAGATGGTTGTATCAGAATTTCGTTTTTCCTAGATTGCTATCTTGGAATTTCGTCCTTCTGAGGAAAATTATTTTTAAATTACACCTTTTCGAATATTCGGTAGCACTTATAATTTTCTTGCTTTTCAAAACAATTTATCTTGAAATTCCTTGTTTCTAAAATAAACTCTTTTGAACTTTCCAAAAAATATTTTCTTGATATTCCGATTTCTCTAGGATAAGTAAGTATCGTCTTAAGCACAGCTTAAGTCCATATTCTCACAATACTCATACACGAAACTTTAGTAAGTTCGGGATAATCCGACAAGAAATCATATTATAAAGGGTGCTATTCTGCATGAATGAATAAATAGATGAGATATTTTTGATAAATTTGGATTGGTGTATTTGTGGAAACTAAATTGTTTTTTTTATTTATTTATTTATTTTTTTTTAATAATCCGTTAATCACTCATTAACTTTCAGGTCGAGTACAACAAATTAAATGTATTTCGTGGCTATGCTGGTAGGTCTAAATTTGCTTGCAGGTTGGGCAAGCTACCAGCTAAGTGGTTTATATACGTCAAGACCACTTATGCCAATGTGTTGCTATTCTATGTACCGGTCACCGTCACGGGTCTCATCTACGTCATTATCATCGCCACCGTTTGGAAGAGAAAACACGGCATCTTTAAACATTCCACGTCACGTGATATTAATATGCACGTACGCACAGCGTGTACTCTCTGCATCGTTTTTGTGGCGTATGTTAGCTGTTACACATTTTATGGGACATTCAACCTGTTGCTGGCGTCTCCGAAGCATCGCAAACTGAAACCTCTAGTAAAAAATATAGGTCTTATGATGCCGTTCTTTAATTCTTGTCTAAATCCGTTGATTTACTCGTTTTTTAACTCTACATTCCGTAATCACCTTCTTAAAATGTTTTGCAAGAGAAAATGCCATGGACATCAAACTAGGAAACGCAAGCCTGACAATAAACACAATCCTAGACTTGCACACTAGCAATGCGACCTATGAGGGAAGTAAACAAAATGATACTTCTGCTCTTGATAGCAGCTGTATAGAATTGAGCGTAAGATCCAATGATGTTGTATTTTCAGGGATTAAAGTCCCAAACCAGAACGAGTGTCACACTCGTGAATCACATAGCATTCCCTACTGACAACAAGGTCGGTGTGGGTAACATAGGCCTACAACAATAGCCCTATGGCTTCTTTCAAATGATGTTGTCGTACACAAAAGATACCGCTAAAAAAATGATATCAATGCTATCATAATTATTGAAATATTTAAAAGTAATATTAATTTTAAAATATCCTAGTAATTATTCCACTAATAAAACTAAACCTAATATCCTCCTCTCTATAATTTAGCTTACGCAAATAGCTTGTGTTGAACTCAGCAGCCGGTATTCTTGTTGCGAATGTGTGAGAAATATCAAGTTACTATAGCAATCATAGTCATAGTGGTAAACCCATACATTTTTATATCAAAATGTAATTCTGTCGACCATCAAATACAGGTTTAAATGAATCTGTGAAATGTACAACCAGAAGAATATTTTTGAAGTACTTTGGCATTAAGATTGTTGAAGCATGTGAAGTTATTTCTTAATAAGCCAGATGTTATTATATGTATTTTTTAAATATTTTTTTTAGCTGTTTAGCTATTGCTTGTATGATTGTTTTGCTTTGTCTCTTTTATATTGTCTTGTTGAATAGTGAATGAATAATAGAAAAAGAAAAGTTACTATAATTATTAATTATATTTCGTCTTGTGGATTGGTAATTGTTGGTATTATAAGATATAACCTTTGCTCGATTTATGTATTAGGAAAACATGAGTTAGTTAATTAATATTATTGTTAAGTGTGTTAATTATAACAATATCTTGGCAAATTGTATTAGAATTGCTATCTATTCAATTTTATAGTAGAATGTATATTATTTATCAGTGGAGGAGCGGGGAGTGTATTCCAGTATTAGGATAATACCTTCAAATTAAATTTTTTTAAATGTTTGTTATGCTCTCCCTAACACGAAAAAGTAACTAAAGCAGCGATATTTAGCATTATTACACGGATTTTACATTAAAAACGACCGCCCTTACAAACGGTATTAGTCTAATATCTAATGGCTATCTTTACGATGTTGAAAGGTTCTTCTGCTACATGACCCTCATAATTATGTTTATAGTCAATTAAGGTAACAAGAGGTACCAAGAATATGGTTCGCTTAACGTCATTGTATGATTTCTTTATTTGAAATCACTTATTCCTAACCATAAATCGTAGTCCAAGCTCTTTCTTAATAAGCTCTCATCTTTGGTTTGTGCATTTTTTAAGCTAAAACGGCATTCATGCCATTCATATTCGGTGATTATATGATTACTAGAGATTTGAAATAATTTGCATGCACTGCTATCAATATCATTAATGTGCTTGCGTCACTTTGAATCATTAGATTAGCAAACACCAATCAGCGTTTAGAGAGCTAACTACTCCGACCTATCAATGCCAATCTTACAATATTAGGTCATTTAAATAGATGTTAATCAATATGGAGCTCTCGATTGCACGACGATGGTAGGACATAGAACTAAATGACATACCTAAAGTTATCTGCGCATGCAAGAACGTTAAAGCGTGTATTCTAGGACGCAATTTGGCCAAATCTCGTATGCAGATAACGTAGGAGTGATTCCGTTTTAGCGTCGCGTCGTCGAACAAATCGAAAGCTCCCTGTGTTTAAAGTGCTTGTGTCACTTTAAATCCTTATATCCAAACACCTACTTCGACCTCAACGTTGTAAATCTGAAGTGATTGAAAGTTTATGTGACAAATATGTGATATGCCCATATTCGTCTGTAATAGATAACTCTTTAATTCATTCATCAAAGAAACATATTTGATATAAAATAGACATCGAAAATAATATGAAATCACACAAATTTGTCACATCAAATTTGATAGTCTATGATTTTTTATGTTTAATTGTAATTAGGATTAATAAAAAAAAAAAAAAACTTAGTCCAATCAAAGAGTTAAGTGTTTTTGTAAACTAATAGAAG